TGAAATGCATCTTCTCGGCATGGTCTGGATGGGGCACTCATAAACACACAGTAGCTAAGGTTACTCACACAAGATGATACCAACAAGATCTGTGGGTCTAATGGTGCAAGAGAGAGCACTAATTGAACTCAGTGGATTTAAAAACAAATCATGGGGCCGAAGAGATGACTCCACAGTTAAGAGCAGTGGCCACTCTTGTGGAGACCCAGGTTTGAGTACCAGCACCCCACACGGTGGTTCACAACTACCTGTAACTCCAGTTCCAGGTGACCTGACTCATCTTTCTGGCCTCTTAGGGCACCTGGCATCATATATATTTATGGAATTGTCAGAGAGCAAATAAAAGACCCAAAAGGGAAAAAAGTCAACATTGGCTAGCCATAGTGGCACACATGTGTAATCTCAGGGATCAACAAGTTAGGGAGAAAGACCAGGAATTCCAGGCAAGCCTGGTGTCTTAGTTTGCTTTCCGACCAAAAACCACTTGAGGAAGAAACGATTTATTTCAGCCTGCAGTTGTAGTCCATCCTGAAGAGAAGTCAAGTCAGGAACTCAAGGCAGGAAGCTGGAGGCGTTCTCCCCAGGGCTTGCTAGGTTACCTGTCTTATACAATTCAGTACTTGCTTAGGGGTGAAACCACCCACAGTGGACTAGGCTCTCCTACATCAATCATCAATCGGGAAAATGTCCCACAGATTTGGCTACAGGCCAGGTTAATGGAGATAAACCCTGAATTGACATTCCCTCTTCCTAGATGACTCTAGCTTTTGTCAAGTTGGCAAAACAAACAAACAAAAACCAACCAGCACACCTGGTGGTTTACATAGTCAGACACTATCTCATACAACACAGGAAAGAGTGACCAATGTCTTCCTTCCATTTCTCCACCACCCAGTCTTTTCTTGACTCGCAGGCATCTGACAACTACTCATGAAGGTCATCTGTGAACCTTTTGGTTTCTGAAATGGTCCCAACCCCCACATCACTGGTTTTTCCTCAGTGGGAAAATTTTGCTTCCTCTCGTTCCCATGTGTGACCATTTCTAACAGGACAATAGTCTAGCATACAACCAAGAGATAATGGATGCCTGAGGAGCTCCACTGCTGAGGTAGCCTGGGATAAGACAGTAACAACTCTATATGTCCATCCTGAACTCATCCTGTTGTTTTCAGCTCATCTGTTTTACATTCTTTTTCTTTTCCTTTGAAAGATAAGGTTTCCCTGTGTAGCCCTGACTGTCCTGGAACTCACTCTGTAGGTCCATCAAGCTGGCCTGATAGGTCTGCCTCTGTCTCCCAAGTGCTGGGATTAAAGGTGTGTGCCACCACCACCACCTGGCTTTGCTTTACATTCTTACAAATATCATTTAAAAATATTTTTGAACATTTTTATGTGTATGGGTGTTTAACCTGTATGTATGTCTGTGCACTACCTGTATGCATGTCCACAGGGGCTATAAGAGGGCATCAGATCCCCTGGGACTGGAGTTACAGATGGTTGTGAGCTGCTATGTGGGTACTGGTAATTGAACTTGGGTCCTCTAGAAGATCAGCCAGTGATCTGAACCATTGAGCCATCTCTCTGGCCTGAGGGAATACCACTTTTGACCAAACTGGGACATTTGCTTTTGAAAATAATTTATTAATGTATGTGTGGTATGTATGCATATATGTGTATTCCCATATGTGTGGACATATGGATAGTATAGATAGACACTGAATGTCTCCATCTGACTTTTTGAGGCAGGGTCTCTCACTGACTCCAGAATTTACTGTCCTGGCTAGTCTAGCTAGTGGGCTTAATTTTGGGATCCTTGTCTATGCCTTTTGAATGCTGGAATTATAGGCAACTATGATAACCACTCATCTTTGTAAGTAGGTTCTAGTAGTCTGAATTCTGGTTCTTGTGATTGCATGGCAAGCACTTTATACACTGAACCTTTTTGCCCAGCCTGTTCTCCATCTTTACTAGTTGAATATGCTTGCTGGCCAGTTTGATATCCTGTCCATTATATCGTCTACAGCAGTGCCAAGACAGGATGTTAACTCAGCAGTACAATGTTACTTTAAAAACAAACTCCCTGAAATGTCTGGCCCTGAAGGATGTACCAATTACTTCTATCCCATGACTTGCTGGCAACTAATACTATAATACTAAGCTTATAAGACTGCTTTCTTTATTAATTTTTAAAAATCACATTCATTAATCTATTTGTGTGTTGGGGTGGTGCATATGCCATGGCACAAATGTCAAGTTCAGAGAGCAGATTGCGGGACCCACCATGTGGGTCCCAGGGATCCAGCTCATGCCTCAGGCTTGGCTGCAAATGCCTTTGCCTGCTGAGCTTTCCTTGATAAACCATTTTTAGAGTTATAGTCGTAGTCCATCGTGAAGGGAAGGTTTTCTTTCCTTGAGAAAATTGTCTTTAGCAATAACCTCTGCTAGCATATAATAATTTGTGACAACTCATGGTTTTGTAATTAAAGTAATGCAAAGGAAAAAAAAACATTTCTTATAATGAGTTACAATAAAAACAAGTCTAGAAAATTGAGTACTTGATTGAAATTTACCTTAAAGGTATGTAAAAGGTAGGAAGAAACTAGAGGAAGCTTAAATTGTGTGTTCAACTTTGACCCTTTAGGACTGAAAAACAGATTTCCTGAGAGAAAAGAAGGTTGAGGGGAGTGTGTAGAAGTGGGAAGTCACAGCCCTGGTTTGGGACTGCTTTGAAATCTTAGGACTGGTAGTGAGGCATCAAGGGTTTTTTATTTTTTATAATCAAGTGAATCTTTCTTACTTTTTGTTTTCTTTGAGACAGGGTCACTTTGTAACCCAGGCTAATCTGTCTAGGCTGGCCTTGAACTTGTGGCAGTCCTACCTCAGCCTCTTGACTGCTGGATTTACAAGCATAGGCCACCATGACTCACAAATGAACCTTTAAAAAATTGGTGTCTTATGTCAGTCAGTATGATTAAAAAAAAAAAAAGACATGAAATAAGGGTTTGTGTGTGCTTCTGGCAAACATCCCTCACATCTCAGGTGCTCCTTACCCCAGAGTATGAGCTATGCTTTGAAGGCTGTCAAAGTGACTACTGGTGCTCCATTCTCTCACCTTCCTAGGAAGTGAATCCTGACTACTAGGGGTGTGGTAGGATGAAGCAGGATAGGGAGGGAGGGCAAAACAAAACAGGCAGGGCCACTCTGTGTGTGTGTGTGTGTGTGTGTGTGTGTGTGTGTGTGTGTGTGTGTGTTGTTAGGGTGTGGAGGTCAGAGGACAACCTCAAATGTTATTTATTCATCAGGCACTGTCTGCCTTTTTGATACAGGGTCTCTTATTGAATTAGAACTCACCAAGAAAGCTAGGCTGAATGACTAATGGGTCATGATCTACTTGCCTGTCTCTGCTTCCCCAGGTCTCGAGTTACAAGTGCACAGCAAATTCCCATGTCTGGATTAAAAATACTGTGCTTGTGTGGGAGCCTGCCCGAGGATATAGGCACTATATGAGTGCCGAGTTTTTTTTTTTTTTTTTTTTTTTTTTTTTTTAAACGTGGGTTCTGAGGATGGAACTCAGGTCCTCCTGCTTGTGAGGCAAACACATCTCATCTCATCTCCCTCAAACATATCTTAAATGGTGGAAATTCCCAGAGCTCCTTCTGCCTAGGACTGGATCCAATATTAATTTACAGACTGTGCATCAGGTGACATGGAAAGAAAAATCATCACACTAAAGGAACCTTAGGTCAGATCTCCATGAGATGAGGTCACCAGATTCTTTTTTACTCGTGTCTAATAAATCTGTGTTTGGCTGTAATGACCAGGAGATGAGCAGAGTCCTCTCCGCTTCTCCTCTCCATCTTCATCTCCATTTCACCTTAGAGCGTCAATAAATACTGTTGGCTGAATGAATGCTACTATATTCATTAGCGCTCTCTCTCTCTCTCTCTCTCTCTCTCTCTCTCTCTCTCGTGTGTGTGTGTGTGTGTGTGTGTGTGTGTGTGTGTGTGTGTGTGTGTGTGTGTGTGAGGAGTTATTATTTTACAGGCAAGGAAATTGCAGAAAACTCAAGACCACACAAATAACTACAGGATCGAGGATTCCAAGGCCAGACCTGAGCAAGTGGCTGCATAGTCTGCTTTCTTCCCAGCTCCCCCTGAATTGGGGGGCTGAGAGGACTAGATAGAGACTAGATGGGAGCATCTGTATCGGGTAAGCCTCTACGTAAGAGCTATGAACCAGACGCTGTGAGGCGAGCAAAGGTGGGATCCCCATTCTGCTTAAATCCCACCCACGGAGAGGAAGCAAAATTGCGAGTGGATCCTGCTTAGAATCCAACACGGATGGGAAGGGGGGGCAGAGCTAGGACTCTCGGAGCTCAGCAAAAGGTAGGAGGACTGGGAGGAAAAGCAGTGTAGCTAGCATTCTTACTGGGATCATGTCTCTTGGGCCGACATGCACTAGGCACGGTGATTCCCTCATAGACACTTGTAGCCTGGAGGGTTCCATCACCTGTGCAGGTGGGGCAATGGAAGGCGCTGTTTATCAAACTGTGGTCTTACCCCTAACTTCTCCCAGTTTGAGGTGAAGAGCACAGGCAACTATTTTGGTGGGAACCAGGCTTGGTACCTAAGGGATGCTAGGATTCCCGGGAGGATGACGGATGGTATTACCACCTGGAAGGCTGGGCTCTCACACAACCATCCTTCTCTACACCTACCTCTGCCTCCAAGTCGACGGGCCCTAAGACAGGACTGAGGTTCCTGCAAGCAAGTCCCCGCCCGCCGACTCCCTGCCGAGGACTGGGTGGGGACCCGCGGCGCCGCGGAAAGGCTATTTTGGGTGTGGGAACGCGGCGGGAGGAGGGGCGCCGGCGGGCTGGGCGCGGGCGCGCGGGGAAAGCCTCCAGCTCGGGCTGCCACGGCAACCGCGTCCAGGCAACGCGCCCGGAAGCGGCTCTGGGCGGCGCGCGGCGGCTCGCGCCCTTCCCGGGTGGGGGAGCCGCGAACCCCGGGCCGGGCCGCGCGCGCGCTGACTGGAGCGCGGGCCCGTAGCCGGGTTCGCCCCGCACAGCCCCGCGCTCGCGGCCACCGCACCCAGAGCGCCAGCGACAACATGGGCAGCCGCAGCGCGCCCGATCCGCGCGCGGGTGAGTCCCCAGGGGTGCCTCTCCTCCCCATGCGGCCGGGCATCCCCAGTCCAAGCAGTGGGTGCTCCCGCAGGGACAGTCGATGTGACCTTGGAGCAACCACTCCATGGATAGGCATGGGGTAGTGCTGGGGAGAGGGGGTTTAGGGGTGAAGCTGAGCGCATGACATTCTGGACGCGAGAGGGTTAACTGCATGCTGACGCGCAGGGCTGAAGTTGGGTGCAGAGCGCAAGTGGCAACGCATCTTCGCGGGGGCTGCAATCTAGCAGACAACAGAGCCCCCCTGAGGGACTGTTTGACGCGAGCCAAGGGTGTGCAGAGTTTGCCAGGACTAGGACAAGTCTATTACCCCCCAGTCAGAGCTGAGTGACCTTGGGTGCATTAGCCACATTGCTCCCCCGCGGGTTCCCTGGTTCCCTCCAGATGCAGCACAAGGCTGTTTTGCTGGTACTGTGAGCTGAGAAAGGGCCCCTTAACCATGTTTATTCCGAAAGGGGTTTCCAATGAGCTGGCTCCCGAAGTGGCAAGAAATGTTACCAATGTATGGGAGATTGTGGAGGGGAACACTCTGAGATCCAGGGAGGCTTGTTAAAATGCATAGATTAAAACCCCCTCAGTGCCCTTAAATCCTAAACCCATTTCAGGCTCAAGCTACTGAATACTTTTTTCCTGTAGTTGATCTGATAGGAAACTTTGTGTCTGAACAGGTAAAATCAAAACCCAGCAGTGGTAGGCAGTGGCAAATTAAGTGAGTCATTTCTTCAATGTGTAGAAGCGCTCTCTCTCTCTCTCTCTCTCTCTCTCTCTCTCTCTCTCTCTCTCTCTCTCTCTCTCTCTCTCTCTGTGTGTGTGTGTGTGTCGCATGCATGCACTTATCTTAAAATCTGTGTGTGCTGGTGCTAGAGATAATTTCACAGAAAAAAAAAATGCCAACCTGGTTTGGATCTACAGAGGGAATCTCTTAGAAGCAGAGACAAGCATTTGCATTTGCTCTTTAAAGACTGGTGGTGGTGGTGGTAGGAGCTGACAAGATGCCTCAGTGGGATGATGTCCTTTCCACCAAGCTCCATGACCTGAGTTTGATCTCCAGAACCCACACCAGGAAAGGAGAGAACCATCCAACCCTCACAAGCTATTCTCTGGCCTCCATACCCACACAAGACACACAAGGCAAACAAATAAATGGAACGGAAATTAATGAATTAGGGTTCTGAGAGTAAATGTGTTCTTTATTTAAAAATGTGCACTGTGTCTGCCTTGGTGTGTGTGTGTGTGTGTGTGTGTGTGTGTGTGTGTGTGTGTGTGTAGAGGTGACTTAGAGACTGTGACATTTCTTCTAATTTTAGCACTGGCTGGTACTAAAAATGACAAGGAAGTTATTTTCCATATTTTCCATCCATAAACTTCCCTTTTCTCTAAAGGGGCACAAGGGGGTACCCAGGATCCCTATCATTGGACGCTTGAGATGTCTCTGGTTTTGTGTTTCAAGGACACTCTTGATATCCAGGGCTGGGAAGCCAAGTTTTCATCTGAGTAATTTTCTCCCAGCTTGCCTACCTGAGGGCCTAGAAATCTTTAATGGGCTACCTATTAGAAATCTGCTAGCATACAGATACAAAAACCCTTGTTGCCCAGGAATTCCGTCAACCGGCCTACAGCCCTTTAATGAACCACAAGTCCTCAACCTTAGAGCCACGGTCGGCAGAGGACTCACCCTCCTGCCTCTGTGGCTGCTAACCCATGCGACACCTCTGCCACTCAGGAACTCTCCTTTTTTGTGTCCTCCAACCCCACTCCTGTATTTTCATTTTCTGTCTCTGAGCTCATCTCCTCTTTCTTCCCTCCTACCACAGTATGAGCACACAACAGACTTTAAGTTGACTTTCCCCAGAACACCCCTTTCTGGGATTTATTCATAAAACCAGGATGACCTTGTCCTAGCTCCTTAGTGTCACCTCTAAGCTTAACTCTTAGGATGTGGTACTGTCTTCTCGACCTCAAGTCTCTCCTTGTGTTTCTGGCTTAGTTCTCCCCAATCCTGGTGGCCTCCCTGAAGTGCCAGGCACATTTGAAAAAAGACAGGCTCATTCAGACTCTCTCAAATATCAAAATGGAATCATTAGGATGGTTTAAGACCATAAAAAAACCCCAAACCAATCAAACAAAACCCTTTCTGTAAAGAAACAAGGCTTCTGTCAGCAAGATGGTCAAGCAGGCAAAGGCATCTGTCCCGAGGACTGACAACCTGAGCAACCTGAGCTTGAGCCTCAGAATCTACATGGTACAAGCAAAGACTGGACACTTCTAAGTTGTCTTCTGGCTTACACAATTTAAAAAAACAAAAAACACTTTTTTTCTTTTTTGTTTGTTTGTGCCTAAAAAGGGAAAAAAAAAATGGAAAAGGAGGGAAGAGGGAGGAAACAGCTCATTTGATGCTGGCTCAGGCAGAGAAACCACTTCTCTGGAGTCTAGAAGTCGTAATCAAAGACCACCAGCCCCTAACTTTGGTCTCTGTTCTGCTGGTCTTGCTGGTGACTTTGGGTTTACATTGAGACCTGCCTACCCCCCATCAATGACTTTCCATTGCCCGAGTCTTGATCCCTGTGGCTCAGCCTTGACCTCCATGGCTCCCCCTTGACTCCCAGGGCTCTGCCTGCATTTTCCTAATACCATAGACTTGCTGAGGCTGGACAGTTTTCCTCTTTCAGGAGTGAGGACTTGGACTTCTTCCCACTTCACCGACAATGTCCACATACTGTGCCTGTCTTTAATCATCACCGAGAACGCCAGGCCCCTCATCCTTGGCATAGTAATGCTTCAGCCCACCTTCAGGGTGCCACATCTTTGATCTTGACATGGTGACTTTTACTTTAAAAAAAATTTTTTTTGAGTCAGGTTCTCACCATTGCAGCCTCGATAGATAACCTTGGACTCACTACGTAGGCCAGAGTACCCTCAAATTCAGAGATCTGACTCCAGAGTGCTAGGATTAAAGGTGTGTGTTACATTGTCTGTCTTGGACTCCTTGTATTCCAGTCTCCAATCCCCAAACCACCCACTGTCCGTACTTTCTTCTCCGAGCCTGCCGAGTTATCCAGGAGAAAGTCATGAAGACTTTGCTGGTTCCATTTTAAACTGATGCTGGCTCTTATTTCATGAAGGCTTGCTTTTCTATGAAACACAAGGCTTGTATTCTTCATGAACTCAGACTGCATCCACTCTGCTCTGTGCCAGGGCTTTCTATCCCTTAAATGCCAGGTTCCCTTTCAGAAAGCGGCCTTTGACAGGTAAGACAGAGAGCGTCCACGCTCTCCATTACTGCTCCCCCACCTCAATGTGTACCCAGCTGGACCCTCCTTTGCATCTCCAAGCATTTTCTTCCCCTTCCCTCCGTGTCCTTACGTTTTCGTTCTGAAATTCAGGAACTTTGCTGTGTCTGTCTCTCACTTTGCTTTAGTCTGCCCCAGCTGGGATCTCATTCCATTTGTCAATTTGTCATTCTCCTTTCTTTGCCCCCTCCTTCCTCTGCCCTGACCTCATTCCATCATACAATCAAGTCATCCTTCCTTTAAGAAACTGTACTAGAGTCTGCATTCTGTCCACTAGAACCTTCCCTAGTGACGGAAGTGATGGTAGTTACTAGCCATATGTAGCTATGGAGCTCACAGGATATGACTACTCTGATCAAGGACCTGAATATTTATTCTTTTATTTACTTATTTTTGAGACAAGGTTCATCCCGGGCTGTGTTTGAACTCCCAACCCTCCTGCCTCAGCCTCCTAAAGGATGAGATTATAGGCATGTTCCACCACTCCTGGCTTAAACTGAATTTTCAATTTGTGTGGATTTGAAATGAATTTAAAGTCAATTGAAATAGGCTATTGTGTGGGGAGGGCAGAGCCTGTGCTAAAGCCCTGTTGATCACTGTGAGCTCCTCTCCTTTGATCAAGCACTTCCTTTATCTTTCTGCAGAGACTGCCCCCTCACAGGGCCCCCTACAGGAGTCTTGGCTGCAGAACTGAGCCTTCCCTCTGCACTTCTTGGTTGGTGCCCTGCTGCTCTCCTCTCCTGCCTCTCTCTTTCTGTCTTCATGCCCTGTCTCTGCAGCTTCTACTCATCCCTCTTTTGGTGACTGTGGGAACTCTGAACTTGGGTTGTCCGCCCCCCTCCCCCTTCCTAGCCTTTGCTTTTCTCATTCCTAGCTTAGTGTCAACTCAGAGTCTACCTTCTTGTGCCCCAATGGGAGCCTCTCAGTCTGGGAGGCCAGCGTTTATCCTTGCTTGTGGATGAAGAGATTAAATTAGAGGGAATGCAGGGTAACTCGAGGTAGTTCTTAGGGGCAGAGCTGAGATGAGCCAGATCTCCCATCCCTGCTTGGCTTGGGTCCCTGACTTGGCTATTTCATCACTCTGGCTTCCTTAATAATTTCCTTCCCCTTTAAAAATTTTTTTTTAATCTTAAACTGATTCAGATTTATGGAAATGCTTCAACAATAAACTAAAAAGTTCTGATCTCTCTTTCAGCTGCATTCTATAAATATTAACTTTCAACCACACTTGTTTTATCTTTCTGGCACTTTCTCCCACTCTCTCTTTGCATCTATTTGTGGATGTGTGTGTATGGACACACACTTAGCTTGTAATTTCTCTTGCACCGTGTCAGAGCAACAGGGAGAAAAATGTACCTGTCCTGTCCCAAACACTCAAACATATATTTCCTTCTTTTAAAGGGACATTTTCTTATATACCAGTTGAGTCAGAATTATTCTCTAATCAACAGATATTAATCAGATGTCCTAATGGTATATTTATATAGAAAAAGATCTTTTTTTTAAAAGACTTTGGTTTAGGGATCAGGATGCAATCTAGGGTTTAAAACAATCCGTGTGTGTGTGTGTGTGTGTGTGTGTGTGTGTGTATACAACGTACATTCAGACTCTTGAATACAACCTGCTCAGTCTGTATAATGTTATTTGTGTGTTTTTAGGGCTGACCATTTG